CACTTCTGTAAGTTAGATGTGGTTGCAAGAGTTATCCCCCTTAAAATGCTTTCTTTAATAAATATTATGAAGAGAATTTTTTTCCTACTAATAGGAAGAGTCTTAAATTTAGGTTAAATTTAATTTATTTTTTCATTCTATTTTGCACAGCCTGTCTCACAACCCCAGCCCGAAAAAGAAGAACCGAAGCCAAAAGGCCGAGGTCTAATTGGTTCAAGGGCAAAACCAGGGTCAGAAGGTATGCTAATGTACTAAAACTATATTATGTTTTACAAATATATATTGTTATCAGATAAAATAAATTAATTTTCCTGAATAATAAATAGTAAAAGACTTTTTTGATATGCTATGAATAAAAAAAATGAAAACCTACCAGTATGAATTTAATCAAGCTGTGTAATTACATTTCATGATTTTGATTATAGAAGATGAAGGGTAATAGTTTAAAGTGTTGCTAATTTTCTGAATATTATTTAACTGTTTTGCTAGATTCAAAAATTCATCTATTTTGAATATCAGGTGCATGTAGTTAAATTGTTAACAAGCTCATTAAAACATTTCTCTGTTTTAAGTGTAACCAAATGTTTTTGTTTTATACGCTTATCTAAATATTAATCTATGCAGTTACTTTTTTATGTTTAAATTTCCATCTGATCAAATTCAATCTTTTAAACTAATATTTTGCAACATTTGTCTGAAACAAGCTTAGAATTGGTAATAAAGCTAATATCATAATACTTTTCAAATCTTTGCGAGTTTTTCAGATAACTTTTTTTGGTGTTATGAAAATTGGTTTACTGTATGTTTAATTAAGCTACATGTATTATGTGTGGTGTATGGTTGTGCTTTTATATGCTAACTTTGCTTTAGACAAAATGGCTCAATTCAAAAAAGAGGCTGAACAAAGAAAGGCAGAACAGGAGGCAAAAACAAGGTACATTTTTGTCCTCTTTCACCTTGCACTTTTTGTAATTTAAAGAATCAAAATATTTATTTCAACTTCACATGCACCACAGACATGATATTAAAAAAATATCAGACTTGATTACATTTGTGACATGATAACACATTTATGACTTGATTACAACTTGATTACATCTCTGACTTGTTTACTTAGATCTGTGAAATAAATGCATCTCTGACTTGATTACATAGATCTGTGAATTCATTACATCTCTGTCTTGATAACAGATATGTGACTTGATTTCATCTCTGACTTGATTACAACTTGATTACATCTCTGACTTGTTTACATAGATCTGTGAAATGAATACATCTCTGACTTGATTACATAGAACTGTGACTTGAATGCATAGATCTGTGACTTGATTACATCTGCATGATCTGTGACTTGATTGCATCTGTGACTTAGTTTTAAAACTCATTTTATGTTTTGACAAAACTATTTCTGTCACCACAGTACTTCATGATTGTAAAGGTCAGCAAAGCAAATTCAAACAGTTGTGACCTTATTTGAATAGAATTTTTTTCCACTTTAGTAGAGTATGTATATTAATTTCACCAATCTTTCCCTTTTTGGTTCACAATGCTAATAGATGAAAAAAAAATCACATTTTAATACACACTTGCTTATCTGATGCATTTGCAATACTTTGTGAGTACATTTCAAAATATTTCTTGTTTATGAATAAATGTAGCAATCAGGATCAGTCAGGGCCAAATACAGGTAAGATGAGTGTTGATAATAATGTGGAGGGGGCAGAGGAAGATCCTAATGTGGAAAAAGTGGAAGGTGGAGAAAAAGTGGAAAAACCAGAGATTGTAATCACTATGCAGTCTTCTGATGAACCAGAAAGTAATGAAGATGTTGATTCAAAATCTGAGACAAACACAGAAAAGGGAGATAACTCTGAAAAGCCAAATGATGTTGAACAAACTGACAATGTTGAAAAATCAGAAGAAAAGAAAGATGAAATGCAAAAACCAGAAGATTCAAAGGAGGAAGAAAACCCAGAATCCTCAAAGGAACCAAAAGAGCCAGATGATTCAAAAGATGAAGATAAAAAAGATACCTCAAAGTCAGCAAAGGATACAAAAGAACCACCAAAGAGAAGATTTGTGAAGGACCTAAAGAAGTCCTCAGAATCAGACTCCAAGAAAATGGCTAGGTCTCTGTTGCAGCAGAAGAAGAAAACTGGGACTGTTCCAATGAAGCAAAAAGGGGCTGTCAGGTCTGGTGCCAGAGAACCAGCTAAGAAGGAAGATTCCAAAGAGAGGGGTGGACAGGATGAGGAACCAATGGCTGCAGAAGTTGAAGAGTACTGTGTTGTATTGTGTTTTGTTAGTTGTACTGGTAGAGGCATGCACTATAGTTCCTTTATATATTTTCTTAGAAGTTTAACTATATATACATGTATTACATTTACTCCTTGATGTGGTGTTGTTGTAGTTGGTATGGTAGCAATTCTTTTGTGATATCACCGTATCTATTTCGATTGAAGATTACTTTTCAAGCAAGATATTTCTTTTGGAGGCCCCCGCCCAAATAACATTAAAATCTCAATGCTGGGATTTGGTTTCTTTTGAAGGTTTTGTTCTATCATATTTTTTTCTGTTCAATTTTTCTGTCTGCACTTTTCCTATCTCTTTTATTCTGTCAATACATGCGAGAAACAAATTGTTAAATATATACTCACATGTCTTTTTCTGTACAGCATAACATAAATATTTCTTTAATTTGTTCAATAATGTACATATCATGACAAGTCAGGATCTAGGAATCTTATTTTTTCCGTTTCACACTTGCAAACAATTTTGCCCTATTTTTAAATTCACCCACCCTGAGTTTGCCTACAATTCAAAGGAGGGATTGTCTCACTCTGGTCTTTCTTATGGTGTATTAAGTGTAAATAAACCCATCGAGTATATTCCCATGTTACAGTATTGGATGAGCAACTTTGCATGCAGCATGAAGTTTTCCCCTGCATTGGGTTCGTAATATGGCTAATTCCTTCAAACAAGCATGCATGAAATTAATGAATGCTTTTGATACCCCATACAGTGTAGTGTGTTAGTCTGAAACCAGGTCTTTTTATTACAAAAATTAAACATGTAAATTGAAGGTTTTTTCTAGAAGGCAATGTTACTTGTAGTATTATAATGAGAATAGTTGACTATTAAATATTAAATTACATGTATTACTAAATACCATTATTTACAAGTATCTTAAGCATGATATAGAACCAGAATTTTCTTTGTGAAATGTGTGTATCAGTTGAAATGATTTAAGTAATAGTTGTATACTGAACAAATAATACAAAAGAACTTATCTAGTCTTTAAAATATTAATTGTGAGCCATTTTGAATGTGCTTTGTCCCTCAAATCTCTCTCTTTCTCTGGTAACTAATACATTAATCAATGAAAACTATTTATTTTTTAGAACATCTTGATATTTTTTGTAACAATATTTCCTTTTTATAATTAAAAAAAGGTTTTTCTATTTCTTCATTTTCTTGTAAGATAAAATAATGAGGACAAAGTAAAATTAAGGCCTTTACTCTGTAGTTCATTTTGAATGCAGCCATCAAGTTTAGACTGTCTGTTATTGAGACTTATGAGATTTTTTTGCTTTTTATTCACCGCTGACATTTGTTTTTCCCATCAGATATCAGGAGATATTTTTTGACATCCCAGAATACTTTGGAAATGATAGCGTCTGGCGTAAAGGCAAGCAGGACGAACCCAAGAGTCTGAAACTCTCCGTTCATAAAGGCCCAACAGAAGAAATGTTTGCCATGGCAACCATTGATTTGGATGACATATTTGATCAGGTACACATTTAACAGTTGAAACTTTGTTTATTAATGAATATTCAATATTTTTATTAGAGTTTGCTACACTGTATATGGCTAGTTCATACAAATAATTGCAATAATTTGTCTATAGTGTAGACAATTAAGATCTAAAAAATTAATTATCTTACAAATTAACCAAAACATGATTATGAATGTATTAAATGAACATATGAAAATTCTTTGTAGATGTAATCAAAAATGTTTCAGATTGTGTGAAATCTTGTTAGTTCATTACATATTCTCTAATCATTTACTTTATTAACAGGAAATAAAGACTGTGTTCCTTCCAGAACCCCACGGGGACGATGACGTCCCCCCTCCCCCAGGGGAGAGGGAGAAGGTAGAAGAATTAGACCTCAAACCCCCCTCTCCAAAATCTGAGAATGGGGCCCCAGTGGAGAAACACGAAATCCTCAAAAAGGTGGAGCCACTCCACTTCCCGATCTTTGCCCTCAACCCTAAGAAAACGGATAATGTACATGAACCATGTGGAAATGTACCCATTGTGTTTTACCTGGCCAAGCGGATGAAACCTAAAGTGTGGAATAGAAATAATGGTAGGGGTTCTGTCTGTTGGTGTGTTTTTTAAAATCTCTATAAGTCTGTTTTATTAAGGGTGATAAGGGAAAAATTGTCAATTTGATTTGAATTTTAGTCAGAGAAAATGCGTTTGCAAATTCAGTGGAGACATTTTGCATTGATGTTCTTTTGAATTTTTTAAGTTTGTTTTAAATTTGATTGGATGAGAATCACATGATACCTCTTTTATATCCTCACTGCATTTGAATTAGTCTTCAAAACTGATTCAAAAGACAATATCTTTAACATGTTTAATCAATATTGATACAAAAAACTTTTTTTCCCCCATTTTGCCATTGAATTAATTTGATATTGATTCAAAAGACTTTTTAAAAAAAATTTCATTGTTTGGTCGTCTTCAGCTTCATTGGATTTTATTTAAATTCTTATTCGATACAGGAACTGTCCCCTTCAATGATTTTATCCTGGACATTGCTGGTATTGATCTTCAAACCTGGAAGAAAGAGGACATGTTTAAAGAAACGGAGAGCCGGGCAGCATCAGCCATGGAATGGCAGCCAGAGGTGCAGGTCAAGGTCGTAGAGAAAGAGGTCATCAAGGAGGTCATAGTTCAGGCTGAGCCAAAGATCATCGAGGTCCCCAAGACACCACCACCTGCTGAGCCGGAACCTCCAAAAGAGGTAATACATGTATAATAAAGTTGGTGGGAGGGGAGGTAGGGAATAAAATGCTTGTCAAAACATAGAATTATGCATATAAATTTGGCAGGCTGTTCCACAATTTGCATGCAGATTCAGATTAATTAAGAAAGTGGTATTGAATTTTATACATTTAATACAATCACTACTCAATCAAACTTGTTTCTGAAAATTTATATTTCAAGAAATATGTTTAATTTTTCATCAGAATGAATTTACACTGAATATTGACTTGGAATTTTTCATTCATGTACACATGTACATGCAGCAAGTTTATGATAAACAGTATAAAACTGACTGTATTTTATCTAACAGAATGTTGATGGTGTTGTAAGTTTCAGTTATCTTAAAATCCCACTTTAAACTTGTCTTTTATACAAGTTTTTATTTTGCATGTGTGAAGTTTGTGAAAAAGCACTTAATTATGAAAACATATAATTACAGATTGTGAACAGTGTTGCACAAGATTGTTGCAAAAAGTGGATGCATTACATTGTAATATTATGGTGAATTTGAATTGACATTCTGTAAGGATGGCAACTATGGTTTAAAATACAGAGACATTTTTAAATTTCTAGGATAACAGTAAAGCTATCAAATTGGCATGAAAAAATTTCCATATTTTGAAAATTTGAATATACTCACCATTCTACTCAAGAGTTCACGGCAACCATTCTTTCACTTTGTACATGTGTGATGCATGAATTTATTTTTAAGCAAGCAGGAGCATGGATTAGTTTGGATAACAGTGCACCAAAATTGATCTGAACACTTCAAAGGACTAATACATTGTGTATATTTGGCGTGTTGGGTCTTGTAATGGAAAATTTGAAAATCTACATGCATCAAAATGTTCCAATTAGGATTTTTGTAATAGATTAGATTAGAGAAAAGATATTTAATAAACAGATCATGCATTGAATGATATTATTAAGATTTATGTAGTGTACAATATTGATTAACCAATATTTCAGTCATGAATTTCATATTGTCTCAAATGAACTTGCAGGATATGGTGACAAAAGCTGAGTATGACAAGCTGATAGGAAAACACAGTGAAGAGCTGGAGCGAGTACAGGCTGAGTACGAGTGAGTAGTGTTAAATGTTGGGTTGTATTTGCCAGTTTATGGTACCATAGTCACATCCTCTGGCATTTCTGATCGCTTCATGTTGTGTGCAGAAAAACACACTTCCATATTTATAATAAATGACTTCCTCATGCCAATTTAAAGTTAAAATATTGATTTAAATGGAGAGAAGAAAATTTTCATCACTCAGACATTTTATAATTATATTTGAATAAGGCTTAGTATGTTAATTTAAGCTTTGCCTTCCATACTACTGACTTCCTAATACTAAGATAAGATTATTATCACAGTTGACTTCTTTGAAACAATGCAGAATTGATCTTTATCTTGATTTGTCTTATAGAAAACGTCTACAAGAATTATTGGAAAACCTGCAGCAAATGCAACAAACACAACTGGAACAGAAGGAGTTGCTCTTGCAACAGCAACAGCAGCAACAGAATCGCCCACCACTTGTCCACCAGCGCCCTGTGTCCAGTAGCAGTAAGCGGTCATCTGCCAGTGGGGGGCGAACCTCGGCTGTCCCCCCTAAGACCCCCTCACAGCTTCAGCCCTCCACCATGGTCTCCCCCAGTCTGGGAGTCAGTCAGGACATAAATCTGCTGCCCAAAACACCACAGACTTATGATACACTCACACCCATTGGGTAAGCTTACTTTGATATAAATTGATTGATGGATTGTTTGATGTTCTTACATCTCATTTAAGAATGTGTCACTCGTATAGAGATGTCACCATATCTTTACCTATAAATGCTTAAAATTTAGACCTTTACTCAGCACTCAGGGACATAAAGCAGCAAAGGTTCTTTGTCATGCTAACGCCTACAGTGACAAGGGGCCTCAGTTTTTGAGGTCTCTTTTGAAGGATCTGTGATTAAGTTATAGAAATGATGAAAGAATCTAAAAATACAGACATAAAGCAATTTAATTTATATCTACACTTGCTCCATGATCATCAGGTCATTAGTTCAAACCTTGACTGCAACTGTCCCAAGTCAATAAAAACTATGTATCAACTGTTCTTTTGCCCAGTGCTTGGCACTTTGAAGTAAAAATCCTTCCTTCCTTTATTTTTAGGTTTGAGTCTAGAACAGAGAACCAGTCTCTGGGACACTCTATGCCAGAACTTCCCTCTTTCCAAAGGAAACAGTTTAAGGCGACAAGGCCCCTCCCAACCCTGGGTTCTGATGTTCCAGAAGATGTAAGAATCACATGTAGTTCAGTGGGTGTTTTATCAATTATGAGAATCTATTAAAACTGCATAAAAATTTTTTCTCAGAATCAAACGTAGTTCTATTTATAGTTCATGTCATGCTTTACCTGTTTTGAGGAGACCAGTCACTTTCTCTGTTCTATTTATAGTTCATGTCACGGTTGGCCTGGTTTGAGGAGACCAGTAATTTTTCTGTTCTATTTATAGTTCATGTCACGGTTGGCCTGGTTTGAGGAGACCAGTAAGAAACACCAGCAGGAGAATCAGGAGCGGACCATGAAGACGATTCAGGAGGAACTAGAGAAGAAGCTGGCCGGGCAGAATAAACTCAGCAGGAAAGAGGAGGGGCTGTTTGATGCAATGAAGGGTGGGGGATATTTAATACGAATATTTAATTTCACAATAGGGTTTTCTTATATGTAAATGGTCAGAAATATAGTTTAAAAATTTGTGAATTGCTAAAAATCATTAATTTTCAGGGCGAGAAATATTCGCGATGATGAGCCTCTCGCGAACATCGCGAAAATTTCTCACACACGAATAAAAATTGGTTTACAGTATTGTGGTTAATTTCAAATTGTATTTGTTTGTTTTTTTGTTTTTTTGCTTAATAAATATTAACCTGAATGTATCAAAATTATGAGAGAAAAAAACACACAACACCACTGACTAAATTTTAACTTGATGTACCTGTTTTTCAGATGTCAGCTTGCCAGCATTGTTTATGCCAACAAAAACCAACAATGCCACAATCTACAATCCCAGGGCACATCAGTATTTCCATCCTACGGGTATGTTATTAAAATATAGATAAAATGACGTACATGTATACCTTCCTCTTTAACTTCTAAAATAGGTTTTATAGAGGGGTACTCATCACTTTCCATTACCTGTTCATTATTTAATACATTAAATAGCTATTAGTTTAACACAATTGTTAATTATTGTATGGACATGCAGGTTTTTTGTGTTAATCTATGGACTTCAATTACTTTGTGCAGGTTCCACAGATTTAAGGTTGTCACAACCTCCATCTGTATTCCAGTTACCTCCCCTTCCACAGAAATCTGTATCCTTTATATGTTTGCTAGCATCATCTTATACAGAATCAGCATTTTTGATTATATAAATTTAGCTTTTATAAGGAATGTCATTAATGTTAATTGACAAACATTATTTAACCTTAACCTTTCTTAGAGAATGTCAGTGGTGAATCTTTTTGAACTGAGCAGGAATTTTAACCGTAAGGACCAGGCATGGCTGATGGACAAATACATTCAACAGCAAGAGCCCCTACAGAATGTACACGGGACAGTACCCCAGACCCCCGCCCCGACCCAGGACCAACAGAGTGTGAGGGACGACAGCCCAGGTAAACAGAGGGACGGACCTGGACAGACATGAATTTTTACATACATTCCCTAGGAAATAATCATATGTGTCAAAAACATGGGTGTTTGTCAAGTGTCTAACTTGTGCCTAATGACAAAAGCAGTTATGTATCTATCTGAGAGTCAGGTTTTTAATGAGTTTGTGTCTGTGATTTCTTGTTCATATCTATCATCTGTGATACATTTTCAAATTGTATTATTTTTTTATTAATCATGTTTTTGAAATTTTTTACTTTTAACCTGTCCAATTCCTTTTTAAAAATCTTTATTTTTTTATGATTTTTTTTTTAAAATTTTATTTAGGATATTTTTTAAAATTCTTATGTTTAAATTCTTATATGTAACATGTATTTGGTAAAATAACAAATACAGGTAGTGTTCATAGTGTAATTCTAAAACTTTGAAATTCAATTGTGTCCATGAAATACTGTAGACGTATCTCTGAGAGTTTTTTCCAATATTTGCTGTGAATCTCAAGTTTGCGGTAAAATGTATCTGTTCAAAGAGAAATAATCTTTTTGATTTATCTGTGGATACATTTGCAATTTGATACATGTATATAATTTTTTTTAAATCATGTTTATGAAAATTTTACTTTTAACCCATCCAATTATTTTTTTTATGTAAAATTATAACTTTTTATGAATTTATTTTTTGAATTTTTATAGGATTGTTTTTCAAATTCTTATGTATAAACTTTGCTAGAGTAAAGAATAACACAAACAGGTCTTGTTCACAGATTAATTATCAAGTCTATGAAATATTAATTGTGTCCATGAATTATTTGATTATATTTGTTGAATTAAAATTAACAGTTGCATAAGTCTGAGTAAGATTTAAAACTAGACCTTAATTTACAATGGCCAATATAATCAATAAATGTAAAATTTTCAAGATTAGTAAATTTCTTAAATTTTATACTGCATTTTCAGACCACAATACTTACATATGCAAGTATGCATTTAACCATGTTAACACTGTGCAATGTATTGTACATAAATTCTGTCTTTATTGTGCAATGTATTGTACATAAATTCTATCTTTATTGTTATGGTGTGAATCTAAGGTGTTACTGCTGTTCAAGAACCAAGATCATGAAATAAATCAGTTTTTGAAAACGTTCTGAACTCTAAATTTTTTTTTCATTATCATACAAATTTTTTCATGTGCTTATTTATATGTAAGTTCTCTCATTGTAAACCTAGGAAGAACACTAGATGTACTAGCTAATATACCAGGAGTGAAGATTCGATTTTTTTAATTTACAGACTTGAAAATTTTATGTAGATTAATATACTGGGAAATATTGTATGTATGATGAAAATTTGATTTCTTCAATTTGAATGTACAAAAATAATGATTTTTACTGCACAAGAATACATGCACCATGATAAAATGTTATCAGTTTATTAAGACTTCATACTAGCTGTTCAAATACATGTACTAGCTTACAAATATAGTTTAACCTTCAGAAAGCCAAAGAAACTTTGATAACAACATCAAATACAGACATTATTTTAGATAATTTTATCCTGGCTATCGGTTCATTTCAAATACTTAACTTCCTTCACTTTGTTGCTGTAATATTCAACAACAAACAGTACATTGTCACTGTTAGTACTAAGATCCAACGGTAAATGCAGGTTACAATTTTCTATATACCGTAAAAATTGACCATCCTGATCAATTATATGTATCAAATTATTATCAAAATCTGCTATCAAAATTTGGCACATGCTGTCTGTAGTTATACCACGCGGAGCAAATTCCTCATGCATTTTGGTCAGTTGGTTTCCACGGTAACTGAATCTGTATCTTCCTGATTCATCCACCACGATGATTTCCTTTTTATCGAAATCACTGACCACTATATCAGAGTTTTTGTTTTCGTCAATATAATGAGGGTCGAAATATAAAGGTTGTCCATCGCTATTGAACTGTATTTCTTGAGTCATTTTGGACTGTGAGTAACGAACTACTTTCGCTTCATCTCCATCGTCGGCTTTTAGCGCCACGAGTATTTCATCCGCGGTCGTACTGCAGATCGAATTTGGTTTCCAACCCCCAAGTCTTACTAGACGCTCGATTTCACGACCTTTAACGATATTGATACTTCGATCTACACTGTCACTGTAAATCAATTGGCCCTTTTTATTGACCGTGAAACAACGAGGAACATTTTTGGATTTGGTTACGATTTCTTCCAGTAATACTCCGCTCGTACTCATGTGTTTAATGATGCTGTTTGATCCACTGACGTAGAAATGACTCGTGCTGAGCCCACATTCCACTTTATAGGTCCACCGAAATCCTGTTTTTATGATAGTTAAAATTTGTGGAACTTCAGAAAATATTTGTGACTTCTCCGCGTTCTCTGCAGCCATTGTGTATTTGATAAATTATTGGCAGCAGAAAAGTCATATCCTTCCTATTCTAAATAAACAAA